CCAGCCCAAACTCTGGTGCTCCCAGTGCTGCCTTGGCTGCTCCCTGTGCGTGGGCAGGGTGGGAGAGGCTGTGGCTGAGGGAGGTTGGCTGGTGTGCTGTTGTGAGGGTCCCCAGGACGAGGTGAGAGATGGGAATTTGACTCCAAGTCCTCAGAGGGCTGATATTAGCCTTGATTTCTTCAGCAAGAAATCCCCAGTTCCCACTTTGGGCCAGCCTTCTTGTCCTTTAGAGACACAAATGATTTGTGTTTGTACAACTTATCATGAGTTTGGAGCTAAGAGATCCCCAGGGCTTCCCACAGAAAGGATCCAAGGTAAGGGCTTGAGGCTTGGGGAGAGGAGGAAAAAACATTTCTAGGCTTGGGGTGAGTTTTTTATTCTTCCTTTCTGGTATTTTTTATTGAAAACATTGTGATTTAACAAGTACAGTCATTGTTGAACATAAATAAATAATGTGGAGAACTGGGACATGCGAATCTCTGTGATTGCATAAATATTCAAGCTGCAAAAGAAACCTAAGATTTCAAAGGTGCAAAGCTAATTATGGAGTTGTTATCTCTCCCCCTGTAGTAATTCAAACATAAAGAACAGCTCCCCGTGGGCTGCTGGGACCACGTGGCAGGGCTGAAACGCTGAACCTGGAAGATGCAGCACCTGGCCCAGCTCAGCTCCTCTCCCCCTCTCAGCTCGGCCAGACTGAGGGCACAGCCTGGAGCTGTCCCCAAGGTCCCCATGGGGCTGGCAGGGCACTGGCACCTCTGCCTTGCTCTGCTTGAAGCCCCCCTGCTGCACCTGGGGCCACGAGGGACAATGTGACACTGGGGACAGACTCACCCTGGCACGAGGGTCCCACTCTGGGGTGTTCCTGCAGCTCCTCTGGGACATTGCCATTAAATCTGTCCCCTGCAGCATCTCTGGGACATTGCCATTAAATCTGTCCCCTGCTGTGACCGTGTTCACAGGGGTCTGAGGATGAGGGAAGAGATGAGGATCTGACTCCATGTTTCAGAAGGCTGATTTATTATTTTATGATATATATTACATTAAAACTATACTAAAAGAATAGAAGAAAGGATTTCATCAGAAGGCTGGTTAAGAATTGAAAAAGAAGGAATGATAACAAAAGCTTGTGTCTCAGACAGAGAGTCTGAGTCAGCTGGGCTGTGATTGGCCATTAATTAGAAACAACCACATGAGCCCAATCCCAGATGCACCTGTTGCATTCCACAGCAGCAGATAACCATTGGTTCCATTTTGTTCCTGAGGCCTCTCAGCTTCTCAGGAGGAAAGATCCCAAGGAAAGTGTTTTCCATAAAATGTGTCTGTGACACTCTGCCACCTCCCCTGCAGGTTCCTGCCAGCCTGGGAGTGGCAGGCACACGATGTCCCCAGTCCCCTGCATGCTCCCACAGCTGGAGGTGACTCTGTGCTGGGGAAGCTCCTGTGGGCTGGGAGATCCTTCAGGTCCCCTCATTGCTCTGCAAAGTCTTTAAAAGGAGCCCAAAGGTCACAGGATCACAGAATTATTGAGGCTGGGAGGGACCTCTGGGGCTCATCCAGTCCTGGGCCACCAGAGCAGGGGACACAGGAACACACCCAGGGGGGACTGGAATGTCTCCAGACAGGGACACTCCAGGCCTCCCTGGGCAGCTGTTCCAGGGATCTTGTGCCTCCATGGAAAGAAGTTCTTCCCCATGTTGAGGTGGAAATTCTTGTGCTTTGGCTCATGGCCATTGCTCCTTGTCACTGGCAGCCCTGAACAGTCTGGCCCCATGCTCTGACACCCCCTGTCAGAGATGTTTGTGTGGGATGATGGGGTCCCCTCTCACCCTTCCCTCCTCCAGACTGACCAGGCCCAGCTCCCACAGCATCCCCTCATCAGAGAGAATCTCCAGACCCCAAACCATCCTTGTGATCCCACTGGACCCTCTCCAGCAGCTCCTTGTCTTTGTTGTGCCAAGGAGCCCAGAACTGGACACAGAAGCTCATCCAAGTTTTAGTGCCAGCCCCTTTGTCCCAGGATTTCTTCATTATTGTCCCCACAGCCAAGCAAAAAAAAAAAAAAAAAAAAAGAACCACAAAAAATAAAACCCACAATGAATTTCCTTTACCCTGGGACAGCTGGGGGAGGGATGCAGGGAAACCTTGGGATGGGGTTGCTGCTCCAGCAAAGCCCACAGCACTGCAGGTGCGGCAGTCCTGGGGAGAGGGGCAGAGGGTTTGGAGAAAGATTTTGGAATCCAAATTCCCCTGCCAGAGCCCTGAGATGGGTGCAGCACTCCCGATTTGGGATCTGGGATTGGGGATTGAGGATTTTGCTGTCCTGCAGCATCATCCTACAGGGCAACAGCACCATCTGCTGCTCCTGGGGCCGCGCTGGGCTCTGGTCCCTCTGCTGCCGGCTCGGCTCCACCCGCGGCCCTGCTGGCACCTCCGGGCATCTCCTGGCACCTGCAGCAGCAGCCCCGCTCCGAGTGCCCGCGCGGTGGCAGCAGGGACCGAGCAAGGGACAGAGCAGGGACAGGGCAGGGACAGCGCAGGGACAGGGCAGGGACAGAGCAGGGACCGGGCAGGGACAGGGCAGGGACAGCGCAGGGACAGGGCAGGGACAGCGCAGGGAGAGCGCAGGGAGAGCGCAGGGAGAGCGCAGGGACAGGGCAGGGACAGCAGGGACAGCAAAGGGACAGGGCAGGGACAGAGCAGGGACAGCACAGGGAGAGCGCAGGGACAGAGCAGGGACAGGGCAGGGACAGCAGGGCAGGGACAGAGCAGGGACAGAGCAGGGACAGCGCAGGGAGAGTGCAGGGACAGGGCAGACACAGAGCAGGGACAGGGCAGGGACAGGGCAGGGACAGAGCAGGGACAGGGCAGGGACAGAGCAGGGACAGAGCAGGGACAGGGCAGGGACAGCGCAGGGAGAGCGCAGGGACAGGGCAGGGACAGGGACAGGGACAGGCAGGGACAGGGCAGGGACAAGGACAGGGACAGGCAGGGACAGAGCAGGGACAGAGCAGGGACAGGGCAGGGACAGAGCAGGGACAGGGCAGGGACAGGGCAGGGACAGAGCAGGGACAGCGGGGACGCGGGGCTGGGGCCGGCCATGGGGTGTGGAGGGTCCCGGGGGGCTGAGCCTGCCCGGGGAGGGATGGAGGGATGCAGCCCCAGCGCCTGCCTGTACCCACCGGGAGGGATCCCCCATTCATCCCGGCAGGGATCCCCCATTCATCCCGGCAGGGATCCCCCTTTTATCCCAGGAGAGATCCCCCATTCATCCCAGGAGGGATCCCCCATTCATCCCGGCAGGGATCCCCCATTCATCCCGGCAGGGATCCCCCTTAATTCTAGGAGGGATCCCCCATTCATTCCAGGAGGGATCCCCCATCTATCCCAGCAGGGATGCCCCCGTCATCCCACACACCCAGCCCTCGGATGCCCCCACAGGACAGACAGCAGTACAGGGGACAGACAGCAGTACACGGGACAGACAGCAGTACAGAGGACAGACAGCAGGACAGGGAACAGACAGCAGTACAGGGGACAGACAGCAGTACACAGGACAGATAGCAGTACAGAGGACAGACAGCAGGACAGGGAACAGACAGCAGTACAGGGGACAGACAGCAGTACACAGGACAGACAGCAGTACAGGGGACAGACAGCAGGACAGGGAACAGACAGCAGTACACGGGACAGACAGCAGGACAGGGGACAGACAGCAGTACAGGGGACAGACAGCAGTACAGGGGACAGACAGCAGTACACAGGACAGATAGCAGTACAGAGGACAGACAGCAGTACAGAGGACAGACAGCAGTACAGGGGACAGACAGCAGGACAGGGGACAGACAGCTCTGGAGAATCTTTTCATGTGTCCCAAGAGATGCTCCTGGACACCCCAAACACCTGGATCCTTTGGCTGCTGGTTCCCAGAGGGATGGGCAGTGCTCACCTGGCTGCACCAGGGCCGCTGTGCCCAGGTAACCCACCCACAGGTGAGGGCAGAGCAGGGAGGGCAGCTGAGCTCTCCCCACCCTGCCCTGGCCCAGCTGGGAGCCTCCTGCCCCTTCCCAAGGGCTCCCCAGCCTGTCCCAGGGCCACCCCTGCTGGCACAGCTCTGCACAGGGCTGAGCTCAGGGACCTCAGCCAGGGTCCTGTGAGCTGCCCTCACCTGGATGAGGAGCTGTCCCCTCCTGCCCTCACCTGGATGAGGAGCTGTCCCCTCCTGCTGAGCCTCTGCACCCTCCCCTTCCCCTCCCAGCTCCTTGTGCTGCCTCTGTGCCCAGCCTTGACCCCCATGTGGGTCATGCACGAGCTCCACAGCCTCTGTCCCACCCCATCCCAGGTCTGTGGTGCAGCTTAGATTTGGGTTTTCACTGCCCCAGCCCAGCGAGGCCCCTCAGGGGTGGAGGTTGCAGCCCTGGACAGCAGCAATGGCACTGCTGGGTCCTTCCCTGCTCCAGGCAGGTCCTCACTGCTGTGACAGGGGGTTGAGGTTTGCCTGGGGGCTCCTGGAAGGAAGCAGTGTTTCCAGAACCACCTCCCTGTTCCCATCCTCCTCGCTGTAATGGACTCAGGATGTTAATTAATAGATAATTGCTAATACCTCGCATCCCTCTAATGCCTCTGATGAGCTTCAAAGCACTTTGCAGTCTCTGGCTACGATTCCATGCTCTGAGAGGGCAGAAATTGCACTTCAGAGATGTTTCAGGAACTTGCTGATGATCCAAGGCTGGATCAGCACCAAGCCCCAGCTCTGGGCTCCATCTCCAGGCCCTGCCCTGCCTCCCAGCACAGCCTCCCCTGCGGCCCTGCCAGCCCGGAGCCAGGGCAGGAGCACAAGGGGTTAAACTGTCCTGATGGGCTGGTGAGATCATCGGAGCTGGGATGCTCCATTGTTTATTAGAGTCGGCAGAGCCCGGCAGGCACCACCCAGAGGGATGAGGGGCTTGGGGTGAGCCTGCCCGTGGAGAAGGGGCCTCCTGCTGCAGCCATCCCTCCCTGCTCACCGCGTGAGTACCAGGGGTGCCCCAGCGTCCAGCAGGGTGAGGTGGGGTCATCCTCCCCTGAGCCCCACCAAGGCTCAGCAGGTGCTCCTTGGTCCCTGAGGTGCTCTGGGCCAGCCCCTGGCAGTGCTGGGAGCTGCTCCTGAGGGATGCAGGCACCAGCCCAGCCCTGCTGCCCTCTACCAGCAAGGGGACTGTGCCTCTGGCTCCATCCCAGAGGGTCTGGGGGGTTGGTGGGGTTTGTAGGGGAGCTGAGATCCTCTGACACCCTGCAGGGTCTCAGGGCAGCAGCAGCCAGTGTGCAGGGACAGTGCCCATGGAGCCACTGCCAGCCCGCTCCTGGCTCCGAGGGGAGCAGGGCCACAGGGGCAGGAATGGGGCTCAGCACCCACCCCTGGCATCCACAGCCTCCCTGTCCCCTCCTAAGCTGAGCCCAGCAGAGCCCAGCAGCAGCACCAGGCTGGGGCTGCTCGGAGCTGCTGCTGCTGCTGCTGCTGGGGTCACTCAGTGCATGGCCAGGGACTGGCAGTGCCACCAGGCACCTGCAGCCAGCACCTCCAGGGACAGCAGGGACAGCAGGGACAGCAGAGGCACAGCCTGGGCAGTGGCACAGTGTGGGGAGTGGCACAGCCTGGACAGTGGCACAGCATGGGCAGTGGCACAGCCTGGGCAGTGGCACAGCGTGGGGAGTGGCACAGTGTGGACAGTGGCACAGCGTGGGCAGTGGCACAGTGTGGGCAGTGGCACAGTGGGCAGTGGCACAGCCTGGGCAGTGGCACAGAGTGGGCAGGGGCACAGTGTGGGCAGTGGCACAGTGTGGGCAGTGGCACAGAGTGGGCAGTGGCACAGCCTGGGCAGTGGCACAGCGTGGGCAGTGGCACAGTGTGGACAGTGGCACAGCGTGGGCAGTGGCACAGTGTGGGCAGGGGCACAGTGTGGGCAGTGGCACAGCCTGGGCAGTGGCACAGAGTGGGCAGTGGCACAGTGTGGGCAGGGGCACAGTGTGGGCAGTGGCACAGTGTGGGCAGTGGCACAGCCTGGACAGTGGCACAGTGTGGGCAGTGGCACAGAGTGGGCAGTGGCACAGTGTGGGCAGTGGCACAGTGTGGGCAGTGGCACAGTGGGGGCAGTGGCACAGCGTGGGCAGTGGCACAGCCTGGGCAGTGGCACAGTGTGGGCAGTGGCACAGAGTGGGCAGTGGCACAGTGTGGGCAGTGGCACAGCCTGGGCAGTGGCACAGTGGGGGCAGTGGCACAGTGTGGGGAGTGGCACAGAGTGGGCAGTGGCACAGCGTGGGCAGTGGCACAGTGTGGGCAGTGGCACAGTGTGGGGAGTGGCACAGTGTGGGCAGTGGCACAGCCTGGGCAGTGGCACAGCGTGGGCAGTGGCACAGTGTGGGCAGTGGCACAGTGTGGGGAGTGGCACAGTGTGGGCAGTGGCACAGTGTGGGGAGTGGCACAGCGTGGGCAGTGGCACAGCCTGGGCAGTGGCACAGCCTGGGCAGTGGCCCTCAGTCCCTGGGGCTTTGGTGCTGTTTCCCTCTGGGGGTTTGGGTCCTGTGCCCCCAAGCATCTCCCATGGGCAGTGCCCCAGGCAGAGGGGGCTGTGGGGTTGCCCTGCATGGGGGCTTCATCTTCATCTTCATCTTCATCTTCCTCTTCACCTTCACCTTCACCTTCACCTTCACCTTCCTGGGTTTCCTGGGCACCCTGGCCAGGCTGGGTCCCTGAATGTTCCTCTCTCTCTCCCTGGAACTGACTGAGAGCCGCTCTTGATTCAATTTGGCCAGCACGAACAGAAAAAGTTTCTGCTGAGTTTGGGCAGGTCCCTGAGCGCAGCAGCCTCCTCCCCTCCCATCCCATGGGCACTCAGGTCCCCCAGAGCAGCAAAGCCCTTGTGCTGGCACACACAGAGCCTCTGCCGGGCCCTGGGGGGCTCTGGACTGACACTGAACACCAGGACAGAGCAAGAGTCCAACTGAGACACTCCAGAGCAGCAGGGAAATCTTTTCCTCCATGCCCCAGGGTTTTGTTTAACCCCCAGCTGGGACCCAAAGAGGATCTGGTGCCCGTTGGGGTGACAGGCTGGGCACATCTCCTGCTGAAGGACAAAGCCACCCTCTGGGTCCCAGCCCAGGCTCTGCAGGGCACTGGAGCTGATCTTTGCAGACCCTCAGGAGCCCTGGGGCTATGGGAAGGGTCTGGGGTCCCTGTCTGGGGCAGGGTCTCAGTGTCCCACAGCCAGCTGGGGCACAGCTGAGTGCAGGTGATGGAGCTGCCACACTCCCAGTGCCACCAGTCTGGGGCAGGGCAGGGTCTCAGTGTCCCACAGCCAGCTGGGGGGAGCCTGGGCACAGCTGAGTGCAGGTGATGGAGCTGCCACACTCCCAGTGCCACCAGTCTGGGGCAGGGCAGGGTCTCAGTGTCCCACAGCCAGCTGGGGGGAGCCTGGGCACAGCTGAGTGCAGGTGATGGAGCTGCCACACTCCCAGTGCCACCAGTCTGGGGTGCCAGGCAGAGCAGAGCTCACCTTGTGCCCTGGCAGGGTCTGGCCCTCAGGCCAGGCCTGGGCTGGGCTCTGCTCCTCCCCAGCAGGGATCAGGGTGAGCCCCATCCATGGAGTGCAGAGCTCACCTGGGGTTCTCCTCAATGTTTTCTCCCCCATGACCCCAGATGGGTTCCCAGAGGGATTGGGGGGCTGCAGCCCCAGCCCAGGATCCCCCAGTGTGGGCTCTGCTCAAGAACACTCCCAACACCATCACAGACACAGTCAAAACCTCCTTCCTAATCAGTTTAATTCCCATAACAATCTACATCCACCCAGGAACAGAGAGCCTGACCTCCTTCTGAGAATGAAAATTCATTATAAACTTCAAAACTCCCCCCAAGATTTCCCGGTTCAGGACCCAAACCTCAGCACACAAAGCACTGGGAGAGCAAAGGGAGGAGAAGCCCGGGAGGGTCTCCCTGAGGGAGAGGGAAAGGAGAGACCCCAGCAGTGAGAGCTGCCCAGGGCTCCAGAACACCAGATGTGAAATCTGAGCCGAGCTCTGGAGGCGTTTTCAAGACAGCAAAGAGTCATCTGCTGATTGTCTGCTTCCAACAACGGCTGAAAATCCGGGAGAAACCCGATAGCACTCTCCTGCCAGGCTGCTCAGGGCATGCAGAGCACATCTGTGATGGGCTGCGGATGGAGCAGGGGCACGGCAGCAGCTGGAATTGCATTAGCTCTCCCAGGAGCTGCAGATCCTCCCTCCAGGCAGGGAGTGAAATCCTTCGTCAGCCAGCAGTGGGCAAAAGGTGGCTGAAAACCAGGCTCTGCCAGGAAGTGCTGGGAAAACGAGCAGGGGCTGGGAATTGTGGTGAGAGGGGTGGTTCTGCCAGGAAATAAAAGGGGAAATAAATCCTGTCCGGTGGAAAGGCAGAGCTGAAAGGCAGCTCTGGCTCCTGCAGCGTCCTGGCGTTAATGCTGTGCACACAGAGGGGCAGAGCTGCTGCCCTGGGTGCACAATCAGGGTGGCAGCACACAGGGAATGGGATGCCTGAAAGATGGAACAGCACACGGAGTTTCAGGCTGCTGAGGTGTGGGATTATTCCAGAGAACAAAGCAAAGCTCCTAGCACAAAACCAAATTAAAATTAGATGGTGGCTTGATCATAAAACCTGTCTGTGATGCCCCTTAGGAGGGCAAAGACAAGAAATGCCAGGATGAAATCTCAGGGAATGCTGGAGTGCTCTGAGTGAGGCAGGTGGTGGCACCTGGAATTACTCAGGATTTGGGCACCTCCCTGCAGAGCTGCAGCTGGGGGGCTCAGGGTGGGCACAGCAGGAATTCCCCCATGGAAAGGGGGCTCAGGGATTGGAACTGCCCAGGGAGGGTTGGAGTGCCCATCCCTGGAGTGCCCAGGGAATTCCTGGAGGTGGCACTGAGTGCTCTGGGCTGGGACAGGGTGGGGATGGGGCACAGCTGGGACTCCAGGGGCTCAGAGGGCTTTTCCAGCCTAAAGGACTCTGGGATTCTGGGGTTCTCTATCAGAAGTGTGTCTCTTGCCCTGCCTCTGTTTTTACATTTCTACAGAGAGCAGTGAGAACTCCAGACAGGAGAGTTTTAAATCCTCTCCACTGCTCTTGGCTTTTGTTTGGGGCTTGTTTGTCCAAGCCTGGCAGAAACATCCTGAAACACCCCAAAAGATGTCAGTACCACCAGCTCTGCAGCAGTGGCTGTGCTGGGGGGACCAAACGGTAAAATTACTGTAAAATAATTATAAAATTACTGTAAAATAACTGTAAAATTACTCTGCCTCTCCTCAGAGTAACCACGGAGCTGGCAGGGACACAGGTGAAGGAGGGAGGGAGGGAAGGAGGTGCTGGCTGGCACCCATCCATCAGCATCCCCAGGTGGGCACTGAGCCCAGCTCTGGGCAGGTTTCCTCCAGCCCCTGGAGCTGTGCCAGCCCTGCAGCCTCAGCCTGGCTGCCCTGAGGTGGAATTTGCTCCCACATGGATCAGCAGCCCCAGGACAGGGCTCTGGGGTCACCTCCTGCCCACCTGGGAGCGCAGCCAGCCTGGCACCACCCGTGAGGGGGCAGCTCCTGCAGAGCCAGCCCTGCTGAGCAGAGCAAATACAGCCCCGAGGGGCTGCAGGGGCTCTGGCTCCCTGCTCTGGGTCAAAGCCCAGGTTTGTGTGGTGTGCCCGTGTTCACAGGGGTTCTGGGATGAGGGAAGAGACGAGGATCTGACTCCATGTTTCACAAGGCTGATTTATTATTTTATGATATATATTACATTAAAACTATACTAAAAGAATAGAAGAAAAGGTTTCATCAGAAGGCTGGCTAAGAATAGAATAGGAAAGAATGATAACAAAGGTTTGTGGCTCGGCTCTGTGTCCGAGCCAGCTGGGCTGTGATTGGCCATTGATTAGAAACAACCACATGAGCCCAATCCCAGATGCACCTGTTGCATTCCACAGCAGCAGATAACCATTGGTTACATTTGGTTCCTGAGGCCTCTCAGCTTCTCAGGAGGAAAAATCCCAAGGAAAGGATTTTCCATAAAAGATGTGTGTGACAATGTGGTGCTTGGGGAGAGCTGTGCTTGGCACTGCAGGGCTGGAACTTCTGCCCATCCCTCTGCAGGATCCCACTGCCTATTCCACCCTTTCATGGCTGTGATGCTCCCCTTTCCCTGCAGTCACCCCAAAGCCTCCTGCACCTCCCTCTGGGCTGTGCTCACTGATGACAAAGGCCAGCTCCCTCATCCTCCATCCCTTGGCCTGCTCTGCTTTCTCTTTTGTCCCTGCCAGGTGTCCAGAGAGGAGTTTTTAGGGATTAAAATGTAACACAGTATGGTAATGTAATGATTCTTATAGGCTGTATGGAAATGCTGTAGGATTTGTATATTGTAATAGGTTGGTTAGTGAGAATCAGAATATTCAACACAGAAGAAGATTTATGGTATTGTAATGGGAACGTCACTCTCTTACCCTTTTGCTCTCTTACCCTTTTACCCTCTTACCCTCTCATCCCCTCTACCCCTCTCTTCTCTCAGGCCTGCTCTGAGCTGTGGCTGGCAGCTCCCAGCAGGGCCCTTTGAAATAAACCAAAAGTTCCAAGACCAGAAGAAGATTTATTGTATTGTAATGGGAACCTCCCTCTCTCGTCCTCTTTACCCCTCTCTTTATCCCTCTCTCCCTCTCTCAGGCCTGCTCTGAGCTGTGGCTGGCAGCTCCCAGCAGCTCCCAGGCCCTTTGCAATGAACCACAGGCCCTTTGCAATGAACCCCAAGGTCCTAGACCAGAAGAAGATTCATTGTATTGTAACAGGAACCTCTCCCTCTGATCCTCTCTTTTACTCTCTCATTCTCTCTTTACCACATCCTTGCCTTCTTTCTCTGTACCTCTCCCTCTTTGGGGCCTGCTCTGAGCTGTGCCTGGCAGCTCCCAGCAGCTCCCAGGCCCTTTGCAATGAACCACAGGCCCTTTGCAATGAACCCCAAGGTCCTAGACCAGAAGAAGATTCATTGTATTGTAATGGGAACCTCTCCCTCTGATCCTCTCTTTTACTCTCATTCTCTCTTTACCACATCCTTGCCTTCTTTCTCTGTACCTCTCCCTCTTTGGGGCCTGCTCTGAGCTGTGCCTGGCAGCTCCCAGAACCTCCCAGGCCCTTTGCAATGAACCCCAAGTTCCCAGCCCTGGCCTCAGAGATCTCTCATCTCCACCCATCCCAACCACCCTACCCCTGTCACTCCTACACCTGGGGACCCCCAAAGGAACTGCAGCTCCCTCCATCCCTCGCCCTGCTGTGCTCTGTCCTTTGTCCCTGCAGGTGTCCTGCTGCCAGCAGCATGGAGGTGCCCGCCAGGAGCCCGGATGGCAGCGAGCAGTGTCCCCAGGGCAGGGAGCTGATGGCCAGCAGCACGGGCAGCACGCTGTGCATGAGCTCCTCCCGCAGCGAGTCCGTGTGGACCGGCAGCACCCCCAGGAGCAGGTGGGACATTTACCGCAAACCCCTGGTGGTGGTGGCCGTGGGAGTCGCCATCTTCCTCTTCGGGGTGGTCATCACCAGCCTGGCCTGCTTCCTCAAGGAGCACAAGAAGGTTTACAAGATGTCTGGCCCGGCTTTCCTGTCCCTGGGACTGATGCTCCTGGTGTGCGGCCTGGTGTGGATCCCCATCATCCGCAAGAAGCAGAAGCAGAGGCAGAAGTCCCAGTTCCTGCAGAGCCTCAAGTCCTTCTTCTTCAACCGCTGAGGGCAGCCAGGAGCTCCTCCAGGGGGTTCCCTGCCCTCCTCCAGCCCGTGTTGGTCAGCCTTGAGAACAAACACTTTCTTGTACTCCCCAGAGGATTTCACCCCCGTCAGCGGCTTCCCTCCAGTGTGAAAATGAACTTTCTACTTCATCTAAGTCATCCCAGGGAAAAAGGAGCAGGAGTTTCAGGCTGAGCCCAGCAAGGCAGGTCCAAGGTCTCTGCATCACCCCCCTGTCCAAAGAGTGACCCAAGAACACAAAGTGGGTAAAGCACAGCCCCAGAGGAGCCTGGGCTGAAACAAAACCCCAGAGGAACCCAGATCCCCCGGGAGGTTCTGCAGGATCCACCAGCAGAGGGGAGAGGGGCCACAATTCCTTCCAGCTCCCTGATTTGCCAGAGAGGCTGGAGGGTCTGCACAGCAGCAGGAGACACAGCAGAGGCAGAGGGACACAGACCCTGCAGAGGGACACAGACCCTGCAGAGGGACACAGACCCTGCAGATGGACACAGACCCTACAGAGGGACACAGACCCTGCAGATGGACACAGACCCTACAGAGGGACACAGACCCTGCAGATGGACACAGATCCTACAGAGGGGCACAGACCCTGCAGAGGGGCACAGATCCTACAGAGAGACACAGACCCTGCTGAGGGTCCCAAATCCTGCAGAGGGTCCCAAATCCTGCAGAGGGTCCCAGACCCTGCAGAGGGGCACATATCCTGCAGAGGGACACAGACTCTGCTGAGGGTCCCAAATCCTGCAGAGGGACACAGACTCTGCTGAGGGTCCCAAATCCTGCAGAGGGACACAGACCCTACAGAGGGACACAGACCCTGCAGAGGGGCACAGACCCTGCAGAGGGACACAGACCCTACAGAGGGACACAGACCCTGCAGAGGGGCACAGACCCTGCAGAGGGACACAGATCCTACAGAGGGACACAGACCCTGCAGAGGGACACAGACCCTGCAGAGGGACACAGACCCTGCTGAGGGTCCCAGCCCCTACTGCTCCAGGCACCTGAGGCACCTGGCAGGGCAGGGACCAGGGAAATGTGTCTGGGCATGGCCTGAGCTGTGGGGGCTCAGGGCTGATGCCCTCCCCACACTCAGCCTCCCCCTGGCCCTCCCTGCTGAGCTCCCCCATTTCTGCCACACCAACACCTCTGCCTGAAGCTGTGCCCCAAGGGCCCTGAAGGCTGAGCCTTTGTGTGCCCCAGCCTGGCTGGCAGGGAGCTCGGGCTCTCCCTGGCACTGGTGCCAGTCTGTGAGCAGGGCTGTGTGCCTGGAGATCCCCTTCATCCCCTCCCTGAGCTGTGTGGGCAGAGCTGCAGGTGGCGCATCCCATCCTGGCAGCTGGCACAGCTGACTTAGGAGTGTTTGAGCACACAAATCCCCTTGCCCCAGGCTCAGCCTGGCCCTGAACTTCGTTTCCTGGCTGGAGCAGACACCCCTGGGCAGGCAGCGCCAGCTTGGCTGTGCCAGGCCTGGCAGGGACCCAGCAGAGCTCTTTGTTCCTCTGCCACCCCTCGTGCCGTGCCACGCTCGGTGCCTGTTTACAATCCTGCCCTGGCACAGCTCCCAGCCCCTGCTCCTGCCGCTGCCACGGGCAGGGATCCTCCCCAAAACTCCTGCTGGCACCAGGATTGAGGATGGGAGACCAGGGAGAGGGTGGAGGGCAGCCCCAGGTGCCGGCTGGTGCAGGGGTGGGCACAGGGAGAGCCCTGGAGCTGCCCGGGGTGGAGATGGGTCCTGCTGCACAGAGCAGTGCCCAGCCAGGGCTGCCTGCCCACAGGGCTGCTCCAGGACTGCCAGGAGCACAGAGGGAGCTCCTGCTGCCCCTGGCCAAGGAGGGGGCACCCAGTGAAATGGCAGGGGGATAAAACGTCACCGAGAGTTTCATTGGATTCCAGACTTTATTTATAATGTGAGGTTTCATTAAAGGAAAACATTCCCAAGGGAGCCGCACGTGGCTGCTCTGGTGTCACATCTCTGCTGGGGGGACAGGGTGGGGTGACAGGGTCTGGGGTGGTGGGGCACCCACTGGCAGGGGGGCTGGCCAGGACAGGGGCAGGACAAGGAGGGTCCCGGGGTTTCTGCTGCTCAGGGGGATCCTGAGCTGTGTCACAAAGTCTCTTTCCCCAGCCAGATGCTCAAAGAAGGAGTCAGGGCTCTTCTGGTCTCGTTATCAAGGTTGTTTATTGCGTCTTATCTATAAAATTCTTTCTCCTGCCCTGCCAAGGTTCGTTCAGCAGGACAGACAGAGACACTGCCTGGGGTGGTGTTATCTTTTATGCTAAGAACTATGTGTACAATATTTACAATTACTTCCCAATTGCTATCACCTGTGTTAGACAGGGAGCTTCTACTCTAAACCAGTCCAAAAGTGCCAACATCACAGCAGGAGATGGAGGCCAAGAAGAAGAAGGAGAAAGGCTGGACATGCCCAGATCCCTCCATCTTGCCCTCCCCTGCTGCTCCCCTGCCCCTCCAGACCCTGTTTGCTGCTCCCATTCACCTCCAGACCCTGTTTGCTGCTCCCATTCCCCTCCAGACCCTGTTTGCTGCTCCCATTCACCTCCAAACCCTGTTTGGCTGCTCCCATTCACCTCCAGACCCCGTTTGGCTGCTCCCATTCACCTCCAGACCCTGTTTGGCTGCTCCCCTGCACCTCCAGACCCTGTTTGCTGCTCCCATTCACCTCCAGACCCTGTTTGCCTGCTCCCATACACCTCCAAACCCCTTTTTGGCTGCTCCCTGCTGTTCCTCTTCACTCCCACTGAAGCCTCTTTGGATCCTGCTGCGATGCTTTGGACCAGACCAAAGAAAAGCACGTTCAGAGAAAAGATCAGGTTTTCCAGCAAACATAATCATGTCTCACTGAAGCAAGCTCAGACGTGGTCTGCCAGCTTCCCCCGTGCTATAAAAAGAACAGGAAATCCATTACAAAGTCATTATCTCTGCAGAGCAGCTGAAAGAGGAAATATTGCCCTGCATCTCAAAGGTCGGGCAGCAAACCCGCCCGGCAGGCTGGGCTGGAGCACGCCCTGCTCCAGGTGCCTGAGCTGCCTCATTCCTGGGCTTCCACAGCACCAAAGCTGCCCAAAGGGGGGCACAGCCCTGGGGCAGACCCCTCTCTGAGGATCTCACATCCTGCCCGAGTTCCAGCACCTAAAGTGGTTCAAAGAGGGCTGGAGGGGGACTGGGGACAGGCATGGGGGACAGCACACAGGGAATGGTTCTGGGGACAGGGCATGGGGGACAGCACACAGGGAATGGTTCTGGGGACAGGGCATGGGGGACAGCACACAGGGAATGGTTCTGGGGACAGGGCATGGGGGACAGCACACAGGGAATGGTTCTGGGGACAGGGCATGGGGGACAGCACACAGGGAATGGTTCTGGGGACAGGGCATGGGGGACAGCACAAAGGGAATGGTTCTCACTGACCCAGGGCAGGGCTGGATGGGAGATTGGGAACTGGGAATTGTTCCCTGGCAGGGCTGGATGGGATATTGGGAATTGGGAATTGGGAATTGTTCCCTGGCAGGGCTGGATGGGATATTGGGAATTGGGAATTGGGAATTGTTCCCTGGCAGGGCTGGATGGGATATTGGGAAATGGGAATTGTTCCCTGGCAGGGATGGATGGGATATTGGGAATTGGGAATTGTTCCCTGGCAGGGTGGGCAGGCCCTGGCACAGGGTGCCCATCCCTGGATCCCTGGCAGTGCCCAAGGCCAGGCTGGACACTGGGGCTGGGAGCAGCCTGGGACAGTGGGAGGTGTCCCTGGGACAGTGGGAGGTGACCCTGCCATGGCAGAGGTGGATTTGGTGATCTCTAAAGTCCCTTCCAACCCAAACCATCCCATGATTCCAGGATCTCAGGCACATTCACCCTTAGGGCAGTCAGGTTTGTGCAGCTGCTGAGATAAATACTTGAGATGTGGAAGGGAGCAGGTGACCACTGGTGGCTGTGATGATCACACCTTCACATCCCTGAGACCTTCCAGAGCTCCTTCCTGACACCCCTGAGACCTTCCAGAGCTCCCTCCTGACACCCCTGAGACCTTCCAGACCTTTCCTGGAAGCAGCCTCGGGCTGCTGAGGGCTGGTAGCCCAGATTGCCCTGGGATGCTGCAGGGCTGGCTCCATGCCTGAGCCTGGATCACAGCCAGGCTGCCAGAGCACCCCAAAATGCTGCTGCTGGTCCTCCCACCTGGGCATCAGGTGAGATCCCAGCAGGAGGAGCTGCCCTTGCCCATCCCTCCCCAAAATCCAGCAGCTCTCCCTGCCCTCAGTGAGAGCAAACCCTGCAGGGGGCTCCCAGTGCCCACAGTGAGTTTGAAACCCTAAAAACCCCTCCCTGTTTCCAGCCTGGATGTTGGGCACATGGAAGGTGGGCAAGGAACAGCTTTGTCCTGGTGCCCAGGGCAAGGAGCTGCTCAGGGAGCAGAGGGTTTGCTCTGGGCTGTGTGTGTGTGTGTGTTTGGGAGTGGCAGAGGGAGAAGGCTGGGATAAAGTTGGGATAAGGTTGGGGTAAGGCTGGGAGACAAGAGGGATAAGGTTGGGAGGCAGGAGGGATAAGGTTGGGAGAAGGGTGGGATAAAATTGGGATGAAGTTGGGATAAGGTTGGGAGAAGGTTGGGATAAAATTGGGATGAAGTTGGGAGAAGGTTGGGATAAAGTTGGGATGAGGTTGGGAGGCAGGAGCACAGCTGGGGCAGGGCAGATTTGCACCTTTGGGACTGAGTGGAAGTGAAACAGCTGCACCTGGGTGGGCACAGAGAACCAGGGTGGGCTCCCAGAGAAACCCCTGGGCTGGAGCAGGGCAGATTTGCACCTTTGGGACAGACTTGGATGTCAAACAGCTGCACCTGGGTGGGCACAGAGCACCTGGGTTGGCTCCAGGACCAGCCAGGCTGTGCTGCCCAGGGGCCGGGCAGGGGCAGGGCCCCGAAAGGGTTAAGGCTGTATCGTGCGCTGGCTCCCGACTGCTCTGCAAGGTGTGTTGTGACATTCGCACTTCCTCCTGGCAGCGGGAGGCAGCCCCGGGAGCCGGGCAGGGCAGGGATGCTGCTCCCGCCGCTGCCCTGAGGCGCTGCCCGGGCACCATGGGCACCCGGCGGGGGCTGCGGGGGCACTGCCCGGCCATCGCCCTGCTGGGGCTGATCTGCGACGCCCTGGGGCTCCTCTTCCTCCTCCTGGGCATCTTCGCTCCCCTCAGCTTCTGGGACTTCTTCGTTTACGGGGGGGCCCTGCTGCTGGCCTTCAGCCTCGTCTTCTGGGTCTTCTGGTACACCTTCAACATCGAGGTGCCCCTCGGGGAGCTGCCGTGCAGCTGAGCCCGGCCACGGGGGCAGACTGGTCCTGGGAGCACCCAAAGCATCAGCAGAACGTGGAGAGCACCCCCAGCCACGGGGGGATTGGTCCTGGCAGGAGCCAAAG